ATAAGCTGCTGAGGGGCGAGGATAGGACAAAAAACCTGAAGGCACACATTTGATGTTGTAGCTTTATTTTCACTTGGAAACCAGACTGCCACAGAATGTCTCGCAAAAATTCTCAAAATCTTCCACTTGTTTCACCTTGCTTAAAGTGTCCTTGAGTCAGACCATGAACTACAACCTCCACCCTTATAATTTAGACCCTAAACCCTAAAATGTACCCTGAATGCCTCAGGTTAAAGACAGAACCTGTAACAAAGCTAAGATTTTTGCAAAAGTAGTAAGTATATCTATCCACCACCATGCTGGCTCTTCATGACCGTGAGCTCATAGTGGGAAAAGCAGATTAGGCCCCTGACAGTTGTGTCGGGTCTGTGCTGGTGCCTCCATGGCAGCACGGTCTGCAGTAGCAGCTGTTAGGGGTTTGGTGTTGGTGTTGAGAGCCAAACTCCCATCCAACCCCAGAGGGGCAGCAGAGAAGCTTTAAATAGGATTTGACATTAGACGATAGGAGGACAACAATACCGAATGTGATGCTTTTTGTTCCTAAATTAGATTTTCTGCCTTATGAAAAGGTAATGATTGATAATGATTGATTGAACAAAAATGAAGCAGAATGAGAATCTGAAAGGGAAGTGGGCAACTTGAGTTATGATATGTCATATTTTAGAGATGGTAAATCAGGAACTCAGGCAGTTATCTTAAATGGAGGGTTGTGGACCAGTTTAGATAAAATCACTTAAAAATAGCATTGATGACCGTTTTATGTTGTCAGCACTTAGCATGGCATTGACCAAAGTATCTAATTTCATGGTACCAAAAACAAACAACACTTGCCTCTGACTTCAAGGCCTTAAACCACAACCATGTGCAGACTCTTTCCATCTGTCTGGTGAAAAAGTCCATCCTCTCATTTACACGCCACCACATGCAAAAGACAAGAAGTTTTCGCTCTAAAGTTAAACGTCATCTCAGAAATGTGACCACAGGGGTGTCTGTTCAATCCTATCCGGGGTTGGGGTGTGTGTTTAAGCCCTGCCAAGAGGCATTTAACCAGAGTTAACTCCCAACTCTCAGCCTGCTGCAAACAGGCTGCACATCTGGTGAACTGTGCGCGTGTGTGTGTTTGCATAACCGTATGCACTTTCTAAAATAATTTATGTGTGTGTGCGACAGACAGAGTGACTCATACCAGATAAGGTTCATGCGTGCTGAAAACAAGCCAGGGTTACTTCACCGCCTCTTGCCCTATATGCATGCAACGGTCCCTTGATGAATTCCTGAGATCTCTAACAGCCTGAGGTCATCAACCAAGAGAGCAAACCAATAGGATAAGAGGTGAGGGAGAGCTGAGGCAGGATAATCAGAGAAATAACAAAACTGTTTTACAACCTGACCTGAGTAAAAAATGCCAAAACCTCTCATTGCTCAGTCGTTTTCGGTAAATGTCACAGCACTGCCGAGCTGAGACTAGTGACACACACGCAGTATGTACACCATTAACCAGCACACACCTCTCTCTGTTTGTTATTGTTTTTCATTGATTTGGCTGACTCATCGCAGCAAGCAGACAATTTGCATGAGGAGCAGAAAAGGTAGACAGAAAAATACTTAGAAAACATGAGTGGGCCATATTTTTTTAGACTGAGCAAAGAGAAGAAAAAAATAAAATAAAGGGAGAGCCCTGTTTCAAACAAAGCCTAGGCTTGATGAATGGAGACTCAAATCCAAAAAGAGACATTTCAGAAATAATCCTTCCACCTCTGTTCTCAGTGTCTTATTGGATAAAGTGTGGTTGTGACACGTGGAGAGGAGGGAGGTAATAAGCTTGACCGAACGGCTTTGATTTTTCACTTTGATGAGGCAAAAGTCATCGCGACGATGATATGAAAACTGTCCAAATGAAGGGAGCAGCTCATCATCCCTGTAAAAGGAAATCTATAAACCAGTGACAGTTAAAGTGAAAACGAGTCTGTGATGCTGAACAATTGAAGCGGTGTGTGTGCACGCCTCACTGGGCTTATAATGGATTTAAAATGTTTGATATCCAAAAAGGAGGGGCTGTGTCTTGCTCAAGGGCACTTTGGCAGACTGTGGCCACTCAGCAGATGTTATAGGACTTAAACAAACCTGTGACATTTAAATTACTCGACAGTGTCTGGTGTCTGGTGTCATTTCTGTCATGATCCATCATAAAATCGAGCATAGAGCAATAACATATGGGAAAGGAAATGAGCCTATCAGCCTATAATCACAACATACTGTAAGAATTTCACCCTATTTACAGTATTTGAACATTTTGTCAAACATTTACTGAAGATACTGACTTTTAACCTTTTTAATCAGGTTTTCTCAGCTCAGCTTATCTGCAATGGACATTGCTGCTTGCTTCAGGTGATTGGGACAGAGTGAATAAATTAACTGTAAAAGGCAAAACTGTAACAAGATGGAGCGATGCCACTGCAGACATGTTTAGAATTGCGTTGCTAGGAAACAGCTTGGCGCCGTCTTTATATCCTTTCAGTTATTGATATTAGCAACAGGAAACAAACTTGGACCCATTGGGAAGGTTGATGTTCTGGAGTGGTCTAAGCTGAGGATGTAAGTGCTGTCAGAGGATGTTTTCTAAAGAAATATTTCCATTTTTCTCAGTGCAGGTTGTCTTCATATACTTTAGTATATCAGGCCACTGTCAGTAAGTAGTGAACTGCTGCATATCAGCCAGTCAGGTCAGTTGTTGAATGTTCAAGTTTGTCAAACTCCATGCCACCAGATTATAACACCGGCTTTCTGTTAGAAATCGAATACATTTATAAACTGTAAGCCCGAGAAAACATAGAACAGTTTTCTCAGGCTGAGTAGGACTCACCACATGAGTAAACTGTGTATGTGTAAAATTGGTGAAGTGCCCCTTTCATATGTCCCAAGACTAGACACAGAATATCATTCCCAAAATCAGCAACGTCAGGCTAAAATGATCCCCATCAGCCCTCTAAACTGGTCCAACCCTCTTTTCAGCACACACACTAACCATCAACACATGTTTTGTAGCATTCAGCATGTGTGTGTATCCCGTACAGATGTGTGTCTCCAGGGCTGTGTTGCCCCACCACCACCACAATCACCCCCCATCTGTTGTTGTGCTAGCGGAGCGGCTGGCTGCCTGTCTACAGGGCTCTACATGCCTTCACGGCTCTGGCCCCCCGCCAGCCCTGTGGCTCCCACCGATTGATCTTTTCCAAGAAACATTAGCGACAGGCAGGCCGGAAATCAAGGAGGAGGGTGTGGGGGCTCAGAAAAAAGAAGGTCATTTTACTTGCTTTCTTTCTTTTACTTTCTCTTTGTGGCCCATACATAGGTCAGGAATGTGTGGAAAACTTTCAAAGAGTACAGAAAAGTGTATTGTCGTCTTGGTATACAAAAGTTCCTTAGTTTTGACTCCTCATCTTGTATATTTGAAAGTTTAAACCCGTGAAGAACTGCACTGATGGAACACTATAGCTGAATCGCACCAAATGCTTCAAATAAAATCAAGAAATTAAGTTCTTGAAAATGGGATTTTGAAATAGGAACCAGCACACGCCTCCGGTTAGGCCACAGTAACAGAAAGCTGCTGCTGTTGTCATCTTGGCTGTAAACATGTTATTATTCTCTTTGTGTAAGCAACGGAAAGCATTTACATTCCACAAGCTGAGCGATCACATTAACTCCGACAGCTGCAACGATGTGTCACCACTGATTGGAAAGAACTTAACCACAAGCATTGCCCAAAACAAGTGCACGTTTATATCCTAGTTTTTTGTGCTTGGTTGGACTTCAGGGCTGCATTTGTTAGTATTTGACCGAAACCAATAAATAGTATTATAGATGTCAGTTCACCAAATTACAAAATGCTTTACTCTAGTTCTACAGTATCCAGGTTTAGTTTTAGCTGCCAAGAGTTTGTGATAACCATCTGTCCGACTTCTGACGCCACCCCTAAATACTTTCTACCAAAGATATAGTCCCTATGATAACTGCTGACTGCATATTCTGTGGAATATTCATAGTAATAGAGACGTTCCTATGAAGAGATGTTGCTGTTTTTTTAGGTTATTTTGCAAAATTGCAAAAACCACAAAAGATGTTGTTTTCACTTTTATTTGGGTGCAGAAAAAAACCTGGTTAAATCAAACCATACCTATCTGCACAGCGATATACCACTGGTGGTGTGACATTTGGGTGAACTAACCCTTGAAAAACAGGAAGCCTCACAATGTTGGATACTTCCACTGAGAACTATAACCTTCCTTTTGTTTGTGGGCGTTTTTATGATAAGGAG